CTGCAAGTCAGAACAATGTCCAGCACTATTTAAAGGAATATGACAAAATCTAGCACCCAAAAACATGAAATCCATAACATCTGTCTTCAAACAAAAAAGCAGGCATCAAAGAAGAGGAATATATGACCCATCACCAGGAGGAATGCCAATCAGTAGCAACAGAACCAGAATTTACGGAGATAGTGAAATTAGCAGACAATGAATTTCAAACACTATTATAATTATATTTCATATCCTCAGAGAGGCGGAAGAGTGCATGAACATTATGAGGAAGAAGTGGAAGATAAAAAAAGAATGAAGTGCAATTTGTATAATATAGAACTATAATATCCGAAATAAAAAGTAGAACAGAAGGGATTAACCACAGATTAGACCCTGCAAAAGAGATCAGTCAACCCAAAGGTGTTAAAGTGAACTTAAAGCAATAGAAAGTTTCCAAAATGAAGCACAGGGAGAGAAAGACATTAAAAAAAAAAAACAAAGCATCAGTGACCCGGGGGAAAATATCGCACAATCTAACATAATGTAATTGGAGACCCAGAAAGGGGAAGTGACAGAAAAAGTCCTTGAAGAAATAATGACCAAAAATGTTCTAAGTTTGATGAAAAACATAAACGTACATATCCAAGAAACTCGAAGAACCACAAACAAAAGATACATAAAGGAAAGCACATCAAGACTCAGCAAAATCAAATTGCTGAAAACTGGTGATAAAGAAAAAGATTTGAGAGCAACTAGGAAAGATAGGTATAATAACTTCAGAGGACAAAGACCAGGACGACAACAGAATTGTCGGGAACCGTGAAAGCCAGAAGACAATGAGGCAACTGAATAGATTGGGAAGAAAGGCAAAGACTGTCAACCCAGAATTCTATCTCCAGCGAAAATATCTTTCAAAAATGAAAATGAAATAGAGATTGTGTCAGACCGAAAAAAGCTGAGGGGATTAATCACCAACAGTCATGCACTAAAAGAAATGTTAAAGAAAGTTCTTCTGAGAGAAGGAAAATTGTACCAGAAAGATGCTAATCTGGCTCTACCTAAGGGAATGAAGAGCACTGTAGGTGGTGAATATGTAGATAAATGTAAAAATTAAAATGCCCCAAACGAGCTCCTGAATTTTTCTCAAAATCTACTTCTTGCTCAGCCTTTCCTTATCACATGTAATGGCAGCTCCATCCTTCCATCCTAAGATTGAAAATTTTGTAATCAATGTTGACTTGTCTTTTCTGCACACATCATCAGCCACTGCTTACAGCTCTAACTTCAGAACACATCCAGGATCTCACCTCCATGACTTTCTCCTTGATGCTTACCTCCATCATTTTGCCTCAGCCTTCTATTGGCCTTTCTGCTTCTACCACCACAGTGTATTCACAACGCAGCCCTCACTGTAATCCTGTAAAAACATATGACACTTCATGTCACACTTCTACTCACAAAGCCCCAGTAGCTCCCCATGTCACCCAAAGAAAGGCAAACTCTTGCTACAGCCAGCAAGCCCCACAGGGTCTTTCTTTCTCCATCTTTGCACCTGTCTGTCCTGTCCCCTATGCTCTCCCCCTCACTCAGCTCGGGGTGCACTGACCTCCTCAGATACAGGAGGTACTCCTCCCCTTGGCATCTTTGCATTTCCTCTGCCTAGGCTATTTTTCCTCAGACCTTAACGTGGCTATTTCCCCACTTCCTTAAGTATTTTCTCAAATGTCATAAATCCACTGAGGCCTTCCCTGAACAGGCATTTAATGTTGCAGCTTTCTACCCACACACTCCCACCCCTCCCCTGACTTAGTGATCCCCAGAGTCCTTGTATATTATATAATGTTTTTATCATCTTGTCTCTCCCCACTAGGACACAAGCTCCATGAGGGCAGGAATATCGTCTTTTGTTCTTACTGCTGAAACTCCAGTGTCTAGAGCAATGGCAGGCATTTAGTAGACCTCAGTAAATACTTGCTGAAGGAAGGAAGGAAGGGTGTCCTTGACCATGTTCTGCACCTGTAGTACATGCTATTTGTCACCAGAGGGCAGCACAAGAGCACTAAGGTTTTAGTGATCGAAGCTGGAGAGACGCTGCAACCCAGGTTCACAGACAGGAGACCAAGAGAGGTTTTTCGAACCCAGGTCACGTAGTGGAGACTGCATAAAAGAGGAGATCAGGGGTAGTTGGATCGACCTCTGTTTTGCTATGTGTGACTTTGTGCATCACTTTACTCTCTGGGCCTCAGTTTCTCCATATTTTAATTCAAGGGCTCGTACCAGATTTAACTCTGATTCACTTCTTTCCCTAATATTTCATGATTCTAAGTCAAACAGGATGCCCACTTTTTAAAATTTCATATTCAGGCTAGAAGTTAGGGCAATGCATTTCCCATAAAGCTGTATTCGAGCTATTGGCATTCAGTTAACGACCCACAAGTTCAATAGAAAGACTCTTTTGTGTGAAGAAAGACTATATCAAGGAGTGAGCCTGACTCAATTTGTCTATTCCCACCTCTACTTTCTGAATGAAACAGAGTAATACCTCTAGAAAGGGAAGAAACTTAGCACCCTCTGGAGATCCCAGGGCTCTGAAATAGTGTCAGTTAAATGCTATGGTTTCTTTCCTTATTACTTCCCAGGAGAAGCTAATGTACAGCCATTTGAGAGACAGAAGATATTGCTTCCTGGCAAAGAGGCCATTTAAATTTATCCATCGGAAGAAAATTTATTTTCTTAATGATGGAAGAGTTTCATTTTCTCTGAAAGGAGCAGCATTTTTAAAATTGATCAGGCGAGGGCAGTAAAGAGTTACATATGGCTCCTAGTCAATAAAGTATTCATGATAGAGAAGAATTATAATCTAAGCTAATTTATTTTTAAGCTTTACTGCCTCCTAATAAAATTCACTCACCATTTTATTGATTTGAAGAAATTAAAGTGTCATTAAAGGGTTTGTGGAGATTAGTTTGGTCGAGTTAGCATAGCACCTCAGGTAAAAATTTCCCCAAATTGCATGTTACCATTGAATATGAAGCCTACGACCAAAAGCAAGAGAAATGACTTTTCATGATCGGATATTTAAGTGATTTAATGAAAGCCATCCCTTTTATGGGATCAAATGCATTAATTTCTATTTTATGATCATTTTTTCTTAGTCCTGACATTTGACTTATTTCAGAATGTCTAATCCACATTTATGTCTCATAGAATTTTATTTTCTCCTTGAAAAAGAGGATGTGAATAGATACACAGGCTGGACTTCTTAGTACTGGTTGTTATTTTAAAGCAAAATCAGCCTAGCAGCTTGGTTTCTTTGGCCTAACTCCGTTGATGTATGAGTGTCTCTGGTTGTAAATATACTTGGGGCTGCTAAAGGAACAAAGAGAAAAAAAGCATGCATGTCACTTATCTGAAAAGCTCTAAATGAACACATTTGACTTTCTCTCTAATTTTATGACAGAATGGTAGGTAAGGGTATCTGGAATGAATCAAACCATCCGAACTAAATCCCAGCTAAGTTCTCATAATACTTAGTACTTTCCTTTGTAGCACTTAGCAAAACTGATTTGTATTTTTGTTCTCTATCTTTACCACCTAGACTGTACCCGCCACCCCTCACCCTCCTGCCGAATCTCTCCTCATTCAGAGTTGTATCCCCGGGGATGAGCACAGTGCCTATTCACATAGCAGGGGCTCAGTAAATGTTTGTGAGTGAATAACTAAATGCGTCTAGATTACAAGCCCCAAGGACGGGAATAGCTTCACAGTCATCTTCAAATTCTTAGTATTTGGCACGTAGTATGGTAGAGCATCTAAATCTAATATTTCTTGGATAAACCATTGTCTAATTTATTTATTCTCCCTACAGGATACCATAGTGAAAAGAAACCAAATTTCATCCTCTCGTGAAAACATTCCAGTAGGAGGTGGGAGAACAGAAGCAATAGACATATATGCACAAATAATTAAATAATTAAAAGATCAGACAATGATCAGTGTATGTAGACTTCTGTAGCATGTCAAGAAAACCTGCTTTGAGTAGTTGTCAACCAAGCGCAGAGTTGAAGGTGCTATCCTCTGAAGAGCACAGAAGAGTCTCCCAGGCAAGGAAACAGCTTGTGCAAAGGCCCCGTGCAGGAGTTGGGCAGGTTCAAAAGGTCAGTGAGGCCATATGGAACTGGTGAAGGAAGGCATGGCCCTCCATCCATGCCATTCTTTGCAATGGAGACTGAGGTAAGGCAGCTTGAATAAAGTGACACGAGGAACGCAGTAACAGAACAACTGTCTAACAACAAACCCAAAGGAATTCTGTCCTAACTACTCAAACCATGCTGTTCAAACCCTAGCACCTGGTTTGGCAGCATTATATGAAGAATTAATCATAAAAGCTTAGGGGAAGATTATGTTTATAATGCTAATTTAAATATCTGGATGTAAAATTGCTTAGACAGGATAAGTTCAACTAGGCAAGGGCCATTCAAAGGAATAAGACAATATTCACGCTCATGTATTAAAGCATTGTTTAGCAAATATTTAGTGACTTCTTTCCAATGTCAGGCCTCATTCTTGGTCCTGGGGAGACAACAATGAACAAAACAGAAAAAACACCTGTCCTCATGGAGCTTGTGTATACTAGTGAGGGAGAGATAGCCAAAAGATAAAAATTACACAAGGACAAGATCATTTCAGCTGTGACAAGCACTATAAAGGAAAAGTGCCAGGATCAGCTTGGATGGTTGGATGCCTTCCCAGGTGCCCCTCACAAACAATCTGTCAGCCAATCAAAGCAACAAATGTCAAGAGAGGTTTCCTTTAAGTAGCAGAAGGATGGAATGGTTTTCTCCTTTGTGTTCTCTTCACTGTCTAATATTTTTGCAATGAAAATGTGCAAAACTTACTTGACTTATGAAATCCAATTTTAAAAATTTATTAAATAATACATAAAGATGTTCTCATTAACATTTCAGCTGTTAAAGTTAGGAGTTTCCTTTGTCAGAGAAAAGGAGACAGCCATGAAGTCATATTATAAGTGAGCTTTATTAAAAAGTGATAGAAAGATTTGAGGCCGGATTTGGTGACTCTGCTTCATAGCTGGACCAAGTTTTCTCAGAAACAGTAATCTCTCTTCCTAGAAGAGAAGAAAGCATACTTCATTATTTTGAACACAGATGCTTCCTTCCTTTAGTTTATGAAGAAAGTACTCCCAGCAGGGATACCATCGCTGCCCCACGTGATCAAAGACAGCCGTCTGCACTCCTATTGCAGGTAAGCGACAGGAAGTGTTTTTGACCAAGTGTTTTGGTCCACGTGTTATGGGGATGTTAGTGGACCTCAGAACAAAACTCCCTACGTTTTAAAAAATTTTCTTGATCCAATGGTTAAACTCAGAGTTGAGACACTGTTGATTGCCACAGAGCCATCTGTGGAAACGACTCACCAATACGGACTACAATTGCTTCCACAGGACGGAGGGCACGCTATTGCTCCACGTATTGGGGAAAGAGGAACGTCAACGTTAGAGTCCTCAGTTGACAGCTTTGGCACAACAGTGTGTTGCACGACTTTCAAATCCGCCTCCCCTGACCAGTGTGTGACACTGACGAGGAATGATACAGATGAGGGAGTGGGGACTAGCTCACCTTTTCCTTGAAGCAGACAATTTGCTGTCTGTAATAAAAAAGCATGTAATAAAAGGTCTGCACGGCGACTATCCAGAACATTAAGAAAACAGAAAAAAATGCTTTACTTGATTTTATCAAAACCAAAACAAAGTGTCATTTTCTTTGTCTTTGCTCTGTTAATGCACATACACATTTCTAGATAAAAATTAATATAACCACTAGAAAAACAAGGAGATAGTTGTGGAGGTGGGTGTCAATAAAGTACCAAAACAGGCAAAGGTGATATATTGGACCCAAGTCTCACTAAACTCTAAATTATTTTTCCTTACTCTTCTATCTCCCTTTGCTTCCTCCCTCCTGTTTTAGGACCTCAATTTTAAAAAATATTTTGTTGTTGTAATACTGAATAGCATTCAACAATTTTCAAGGACAAGCAGGCATCTCTCGCTCTTTTCCCAGGCTTTCTTCCCTTTTCCTTGAAAGATTTTTTTAAAAGGCAACAAGGAGAGCCTGTTTGCCGCTGCCTGGTGGCCCATCATGCGATGCTGATGTAACAGGCTGGGGGCGCACTGACTGGCTGCCTGCGAACTGCTCATGCTCTCTTCACACATGGAGCACAATCAGCTTCCAACTACATCGCATCTGAGCACAAGCTGTCTCCACAAAGGAAACCAAGGAGGCAGCGTTCAAAGGCCGATAAAGCATCCCTAAAACATGAAAGAAAAGGAGACTCTGGGGCTGCTGAAGGGAGAGGCTTCTGACATTAATGCCCACTCTGTTTGGGTATTGTGCAGACTGTAGAGGGAGAATGACTGACGGAGTACCATCCGAAATTCACACTTGGAAAAAGCTGCATGTTCGACATCAGGAGTGAGAGGAAAGTGCCAAGATAGAGAAGAAACAAATAAATAAGAAAGGGGAGAAAAAGAATGAGAAGGGAAATGCGGTGCCCTGTGGTAACACAGAACTGAGGCTGTTACATCTTGGGATTCCGCTGAACTCAGTTAATTATTCGCCAGCAGAAATTTTGTGAATTGCATGTACTTTGCATGTCATTTATTTTCTAATGTAAGCATGAGGAAGAGAGTCATTTCTTGAAAGTGCAAATGCTTTTTGTTGGAAACACTTTAAAACGATAACACTGACCACAGATCATCAAATGATATCTAAAATATAGTTTAAGGATAATAAGTCTGTTCTTCCTGGGCAGAGATTGTATAGTTACTCTATAAATTATTTATAATCACATCATCGGTGATCTCAGAAATGGATTGTACTGGAAGAAACGGACCAGCTCTCACTTAATCTGGTCGTGAGAGCTGAACCACTTTTGCTTACAGGATAGTGCATCTACTTATCTACCCATATTATCTGCACATTTGTCTGCCTGTCCCCACCTGTGTGTACTTTCATGCATCCAACCCTCCCTGGCAGTTCACATCTTGCTTGGCTGTATTTGCCTCTTTGTCATCACCTTCCTCTTCTGAAAAGACTTCAGCAACACCTAGTCACCTCCTTTGATGACAGACTCTTTCAAAGAGATCTGTATATGGAAACCTGATTACTTCTAGGTTGATAACACGCAAACATCAATTTCCTTCTAATTGAGCTAAGCAGAATAATCAAAACATCTAATCTACAAACAAACATTGAATGTGGACAAAATTGAACGTGAGATATATAAGATTTTAGAATTAGACATGGAATGAAAAAGAAAACTAAGAGATTAGTTCACATGTATGCATAATTTGCCACATTTGTTTAATAATACTAACTTCCACTTATGTAGTGCTTACTTTTTGCCAAACGTTGTTCTAAGTATTTAGTAAGTATGAATTCCTTTAATACATACAATTTTGTGATATAAATTTTATTATTAATCATATTTTATAGATAAGGGCACTGAGGCCCAGAAACTTGAGAAGGACATACAGCCAATCAGTAGTAGAGATGAGATTTGAACCCCAGCAGTCCAGATCCAGAAGCTTAGCTTTAACCTCTCTGCTACACAGCCTTCATGTCAAAACTTGTTTAAGATCTTTTTATCAGCTCTTTTCAAAGAGTTTTGAGATGTAATTTTTTAAATGAAAAATAAACGTCAGTTTATTAACGTGCAAAAATAAACATGAGCGTTAGGCAGATCAAATTGTTGTATCAGCTTAGCGAGCATGCAATTCTAGCTACCTGGGAAGTCAAAACATCAGAAGGTTGCTTGATAAGGAGGGGATTAGAGCAAAAGGAGTTCGCTCCACGTCTTAGTCCGTTTGGGCTGTTATAACAAAAATACCACGGACTGGGTGGCTTAGACGGCAGAAATTTATTTCTCACAGTTCTGAAGGCTGGATCCAAGATCAAGTTGCTGGCAGATCCAGCATCTGGTGCGAGCACTCTTCCTCGTTTTCAGATGGGCTTCTTCTCGTTGTATCCTCACATAGTAGAGAACAGAGGGAGCAAACTCTCCTGTCTCTTCTTATAAGGGCACTAATCCCATTCATGAGGGCTCCACCTTCATGACCTAATTACCTCCCAAAGGCCCCACCTCCTAATACTATCACATTAGGGGGTTAGGATGTCAACACATCAGTTTTGAGGGGACACAAGCATTCAGTCTATAACGCTGTGTGATTCAAATGTAGAACAGCGTCAGCTCCCAACATCCTGAAGCATCCATCACCACCAAAGGTGGAACCAAGCCTGGTGCTGATCTGAGTCAAGAGCCTTTCTATGAGTTGGCCTTGAAGAATCAAAATTATCCTCCAATTTGGGATAGGGATATTTCATACACTAGCCTTTTTCAAGATAAGCAAACTTCTATGTGTCACGTTTTCATTTGGAGGCCATCACACAACTAACGAAGGCAGGATATATGTTCAGGTCTAGAGGGTTAATGAAGAGGATCTCATGGGCAAACAAATTAAGAACATACCAGAGTACAACTTCAAGCAAGATGGACTAGAATTTTAACTGCTATGAAAGTATAATAATAATTTCAAAGTTGATTATATTTTAATTGACTAAGTTAAATTATTTTAAAAGCCTGTGGTTATTGTTGAAACCCACCTCCTCATAAAAACACAGCAATCATAAAATGATGTTACTCCTGAGAAGCAGAACTTGAATCTAGACAATGATCAACTCTCTTCCAGAGATTTGTGCCTGCAGCACTGCAGTTGGACTGAATATGTAACAAGTGAGTTAAGACATCTTCTGTTCATTTGAGGCCTGGAGGGTAGGGGAAAAGGGTGGCTCAGGACTCTAAATCTAAAACCCTTCTTTCACATGATCTAATATAGTCACCAGGTGCAGCCAGTTTTCCAGTTTCTGTATGAAATTAAGATGAAGAGACACTTTGCAAAACACACTCTAGTTCAATCCAGCAGTGGAACTGCCTCTTAATTTGTTTGTTCGAAGTTACTACTCAATATCAAAAGTGATTCATTCAAAGAAATGCATAATAAGACAACACTGCTCACATGGTTGAAAGTCTTTAAAAAAGAAAATAATCATTGTTTTGTAAAATGTGTACTCTCTGCTTTCCTAATAAGAGTATAAATTGGAATATATGACCTCATAGGGAGAAAATTGGTATCAACAGCCTTAAAATTTCTCACATTATTTGACCCAGTAATTCCTTTTCTGGAAATTAATGCTAGGAACAAAATTTAAAAATCTGCTTGCAGATTGATGTATAATAATATCCCTCACAGCATTATTGTAAGGGGAAAGCATTGGAAATACCTTAGAGTTCTAATATTAAGTGAATGGTTACATTATTGGTTATAGTATTGATTTTAACCATTGGGTCACTGATTCGCTATGCTTTAGAGGACACTCACTACCAAACTCCCTCAAGAGATTGTGCCAGTTATACTCCCTCAGCTCCATGTTGACTGGGCTGGACTCAGCTTTGTGATCTGGCTTCCTCCCCAAGGCTGTGTCTCAAGCTGCTCTCTAGTCACTTCCCTCTCCAGTTTCCCACAGTGACTCAGATTTGCATTTCTCTCCTCAAAATGTCGTGCTGCAAAACCTGGTTCCAATTCTAATCTCTCAGCTGCCGTCCCCTCTTCCATACTCTTCAGGAAGGAGCAAGGTAGGACATTTCTCAGTCCTGAATCTGAAAGTTGTTGGTACCTCGGGACCCAATAGCTTGTCATTAGGAATCCATGCAGTATTTGCCTATTCCAGAGGCAGACACAACAGGAGGGCGCTTTCTGGGAAACTGGTCTGCCTGGGGAAAACCCTCACCAAAGCGCTGAGGAATGAGGCGGAGTCCAGAGGGATTCAAAGCAACTGCTAGGCGTTCTGTAGGCGGAGTCCAGAGGGATTCAAAGCAACTGCTAGGAGTTCTGTTTCGTCAGAGTCTGAGTTCACATGCAGGAACTGTCCAGCTTTAGGGGTCTGCAGAAGATAGAGGCAGAAGGATTAGGGAGAAGTGGTCACGAGTTAGTAGCATCGTGCTTGTATCTGGAGAGCGACCTCTCAGACAAGGAGGTCTGCTTCCTTGGGCTGGCTTTGTTGGCTGGTCAGAAAGCTCCAGCACCTGCACCTGCATCCACAGCCAGCATCCCACCTTAGGGAATGGATTCCATTAGACTCCAACTTGTTTCTCCTTCCTTAAAAACTTCTGGAAACAAACTCGACCTTAGCAATCTTCAAATATTTTTACTTACATACTTTCCAAAAGAATTTTTAAAACTGTGTACCCTCGCATGCATTTTTAAGTTGACATGAAAAACTTCTCATCCTAAGTTCAAATAATTGCAAGGAATATAAATTCTGGAGGATTCCAAATTTGACATTTTAAAATAAATCTGTTGAAAACTATTTGAAAAGGATTCAAAGTGTTATGGCTCCACAGTGCACCGACTAGGCTAGGCTGAACTATTTCTCCCAGAATTCTCTTTCTTGTATGTTTCTGGTAAGGGTGCCCCACAGGAAAGAGGCTTGTGGGACATTTGGAAGATGGAAGTGAAGCAGCAGCTATTTTGTAGCGCACAGGCGTCATCGCTTCCCTGCAGGCACACCTTGTTGGTGTGAATTAACAGCCCTATTTGAAACAGTTCCACCAGCCCCATCAGCCTCTCTAGGTCCTGGGGCAAGTGTGTGTTTAGCCCTGTGATGAAGGGTGCCAGCTTCTCCTACAGGACACTCTCATCATTAAAATTGGAGGCAGTGAGAACTGACATAGATTCCAGTCCATCCTTGCTTGAACTCTTGCTCAAGGGATCCTGCTTGTTCTTGCTCTTCCCAACTTGACATTCATTCCCGTTTTCAACTGTCTGCCTCACTGACTTCAAGCTCCAGCGCCAGATGCAAAGGCAGCCACTATAGGGAGCCTGTTGTCAGCTCCGCAAATTACAGTAGATCAAATCTTGTAGCAAATCTCTTATTTTACAAAGATAGATAAATTGAGATATATATATATATATATATATATATATATATATGTATATAGGTAGATAGATTCCTCCAATTGTTCTGATTGAACCCTAATACACAAAACATCATAGTGATTTGATACGCATCACTATACATTTAAAAAATACATGGTCCGCCTCTTCTTGAACAATGCTACTTCATTCATTTTATTCTTGAATTCACATTTCCTTTCCATTTTAACTCAAATGTAATACTTTTACATCTCACTCAAATATTGATCATTCGATCATACTCCTCTTCAACTAAAATAGTCACATAAATTAATTTTTTTAAATTTCCTGTGGCCATAATGCTCGAAGTATTAAAACACATCTTAGGGATTTTATTCTTAGTCCATTATTAAGACTAAGCAATTGATCCACATTACAAAACTACATTGTTAATTACTAAATATTTATTTTTGTTAGCAATTGCTGCTGGCACCCCAAAACTCAGTAGACTAAGTCGATAATTCCTTTTTCTAGCTCCTGTGTCTGTGGGTTAGCTGGGAGTTTACTTTGTTCTCCATTGATAGTGGCTGTGGCAGGTTATCAGGGATAATTCTGCTCCACAGGCCTCTCATCCCGACTGTGAACAAGCTGCTTAGCCTGGCCATTGCTTTCCCACGGCTACAGTAGGAACCTAAGAGAACAAGCAGAAACATGTAAGGTCTGTTGAGTCCTATACTCAGAACCACTATGTCTATCACCGATTCTATTGGCCAAACCAAGTCACAAGATCAAACCAGAGACAAGGGTCAGGGAATATACTACTTTTGCGAAAAGAACTGCAAAGTTTCAAGGCAAAAAGAGGAAAGAATAAAGAATTGGGGCCAATAATTTAGTTTTCCATGGCATCTGTTAAGAATATAGATGGTGCTGGGTTTTTTTCTTTCAAATTAACTTGTATATTGTACATATGTTATATTGCTGGAATACGACAAATGTTAACATTTATTTTATACCCTTTTCTGTGGATGTAAGTACTGAGAAACATTATTTACATAAATAGCAAGAGGAGGGAAGTAATTTTGGTATAGAAATGTCATCCATTCTTTGAATTCCTTCCAAATTAATTATGAAAGTCCCACAATGTTCTGTCATCAAAAATTATTTTTAATAATCTATCAGTATACTGAAAGCAAAGAATTAGAAACCATTTGACTTGCAAAAGGATTTGTTATCCAGTCATTAGAGGTATTCATTTTTCCAACATTGTAATATTTCTAAGTCTCCCTTTATTTTATATTTGGGAGTTTTTACATGGTAGAGCCATGAACCATTGAAAGATCCTGGATGGGTGAGAAGAAGGCCTTTCTTTATAAAGTGGGAGAAAGGCGGTTATGAATGGGGCAGTGGAAAAGAACTGGCTTGGTGCTTTTATCATAGGTGTTTCCTTAGGCAGATAAATTTTAGAAAGACTGCCCCTGGGAAATCTTGTCAGCATTGTTTGGGCATGTAATTATACTGTCTTCAAGCTTTAAAGTTATGATCACATATTTCTAGAGATAGAATAAACATCAGGAACTTCGTCAAGTCCTTCCATCTTTATTCAGACAAACAAAAGTAATGCTAGACATGCAAAAAGAAATCAAACTATTTCTTGGGCAATGCTCCAATTTCGTATTACAAATCGCAAAAGAATTCTTTTTGTGATTTCCTCCATGCCATAGCGCTTCTTCATTTGCAAGCAAATCCAGATTTTCAAACCTCTCCTCCGAATGAAATAGTGCAAACCACTATTTAATTATAAATTCAAGATGCTTCAAAGAGAAATACAATCAAAGGGAAACGCACCTGTAGTAACTTTGATAGTCAGAGAAACACAGTAGGGCTGATTAAGTCAGCCTTAAAACTCTGCATCGGAAAGCAGGAGTGACAAAAATCCCGTGTTGCTAAACAGCACATTTCTTTCAGTGAAAATGACTTCATAGCAGCAAGACACACCAAGAAATTATGAAAATCCCAGGCCACTGATATGAAAGCACTGTTTGCAGTACTGCTGAGTAAATTCCTTCGTTATAACCTGTCAGTTTTAATCAGTAAAAACTTTAAAATTTTTGAAAATATAAATTAGTGTATTTGATTTTGTATGAGACGTTAGGTAATCACAACCACATTCACAAAAGAAAGCTTTATGTTTTCTTTTCATTTTTGTTTAAGCTTCTCCTCTAAGCTTCAAAGGAAAGCATGAGAGAAGCAATCCTCTTTCCCCAGGAAAATGTCCTTAAAGTCGTTCAGCTTCTGGCTGCTCAATGCTGAATTAATATATGAAAGAAAGAAATATTTTCTTCAGGACCATTTATATAGAGGGATGAGAATGCCTTAAAGAGATGTCAAAAAGAGAAGCCATACTAAGAAATGGTTATCCATTTTAAAGGCTCAGACAGAAACTGAAAATGGCTGTGGGAAAGAAGGAAAAATGATTCATATGGATTGTGAACTTGGCCTTTTGGGAGAACAGATATATTCTCCCTTGTGCTTACAGCATCTAATCCCCATCGCCTCCACAAGAAAGCCTGTAATGAAAGCTGATTACCTCACAACATGCCGCTGGAAAGAATGATCCGTCTACTTTTCATTGTTTGCTGAGTTGCAAGGGGTTACCATGGTTCCGGCAGCCTCCTTACAGGCAATGCCAAACATGCAGAGTCTGAATGACGATTACATAAAGGCATCGGGATGGTGCTGCATGAAATCCAAGGGGTCCTTGTTTTATACCAACAAAACAGTCTGCCTAAATGGGGAGTAGAGCAAGAGAGGGAAAAAAGTTCAAGGAACCATAATTAAGTTCCAGTCTGTGTAAAATTTCATAAGCTACCTAAAACAATTAAGAAATAGTTTATGTTACTAAAGCAAAAAAAAAAAAAAAAAAAAAACGGACCTTTTAGAGGGTAAGAATAATGTAAATAAAACAAACCTCACAATTTTGTCCCTAATCTTTATTACTTGGTTAAAATATTCCATTAATTCCCAAGCCACAGACTGCAAGAAATACAACCATTGTTGTTTCAAAAACTTTCACTTTTGTTTTGTTTCCATTTTTGGCTTGGAAGTTTTTCTTGAATTAACTTCTTCCCATTTTATTTTATTTTATGCATATATGTTTATATACATGCATATATGTAAATGTATATATATACATGTGTGTGCTATTTTTTCTTTTGAACTATTTGACAGTCAGTCGCAGCATCATCCCTCTACCCCTAAATACTTCAGCATGTATTCTAAGACCAAGGACATTTTCTTACATAACCACACACAATTATCAAATTCAGGAGGCTTTTCATTAATGCAATATTATACAATCTACAGGTTATTTTCAATATTCACCAATTATCCCAATAATGTCCTTTATGGAGATTTTTGTCCCAATCCAGGACTTTGCATTGCATTTACTTGTCAGGTTTTTAGTCTCCTTTGATCTGAAATAATTCCTTAGCATTTCCTTTCCTTTCCTTTCATAACATTAAGCTTTTTGAAGATGACTGGCCAGTTTGTTGCTTCCCTCAGTGTGGATTTGTCTGATGTTTCCTCAAGTGTATGTGCGTTTTACACATTTTAGGCAGAAGCAGTGTTATCATTAGCGCCTCACGAGAAGCTCAGCTGTTTGTTAGTGACATTAACTATGAATACTTGGCTAAGGCAGTGTCTGCCAGGTTTCTCTACTCTAGAGTTACCATTTCAATTTTTGTAATTAATTTGTAATCTGTAGGGAGATACTTTGAGAGAATACAATATGCTGTTCCTCGTCAACTTTCACCCAATAGCTTTAGTATCCATTGCCGATACTTGGTTGAAATAATTACGTGATGGTTGAGAAATCACTTCAATATCTTTTGAAAAAAATTACATTAGTAGATACCCAAAAGAAGAGATTTGGATTTTATCATTTCTCATTTTTTATGTCTTTAGATGTATGCAAAGATACCTGTGCAATTTGATCAATTTAATTGATTTCATAAGACTTATGTAAGTATTTCTTTCTCACTCACATTATGTTTGAGTGAAAAGCCTTTCCTCTCATGAGGGAACCTTAATGTGTGTGTGTAAGTGCACGTATATGCAGCAGTTCTTAATATTTATTGCTTCCTAAGAAAATTTTTGTGGCATAATATATACTATATACTGGTGTGTTTTTTCCAACACAATCCTTGTTTTCTTTCATGCAGTTGTAGAATTTTTCCCCTTTTGAACAAAAGGATTGGTAGATGGATGTCCAACAGATGGATCCTCTTTTAATATCAGATGGTCTAAGGGCCCAGAGCACGTGCAGAAACTTGAAACCCATTCCATAAACTGGAGTAATCATGTATATAGAAATTAATTTTGTACCTTGTGTAAAATGGATGCTCAATAGGCCATGTTAAATAGATAATTGAATGAGCTCCATTGAATATATAATGATTTGTTAAACATAAAAGATAAAAAAAGCTTTCTAGCAACATTGAAAGTAATGATGCATTTAATATGTAAAAATCAATACAGAAAAAAATTCTCTTATATTTGAAAAATGACGTTTTAGCTACCCTGAAGTAATAGAAAAAAGGTAAACTCTTGCTTGATTCTTAAATTATGTTTTGCCCAGGAGAAAAAGGAAACCAAAATATGAGACAGAGGTTTTAATTTAATATAAGCAGGGCAAAACAACATCATGTAGCCTTAGTGTTGGCTGTGTTTTCAACTCATCAGTAACAATCGGTGAGTGTTTCCTCATGAGGAGGCACGTAGCATCAGAAAAGTGTTGATTCTGAGCTCTCAGAAGGAGCATATTCTAAGAGGACAAAGAGGCTTACTGAATAAACACAACATTTTGAAACACAGGCAATCTTGGAAAAAATCTATTGTTGAGCTCAATTGTGAAACGCATAACTAATATTCTTTTAGTAGAAGAGTTTATTATCTGTTGTCCTATGAACCTAATGAATTATCCATCAGTGTGGAAAGCGCTGGAAACTGCAGACTTGACTAGTGTAATGGAAACAGTACTGAACTTGAAGTCAGAAGGCTTGAGTTTGAGTTTCAGCTTCTTTATTTAATTATGTATATCCCTTGAGCAGGTTACTTAATCTTTCTGAGTCCACTTTGCCCATAAATAATGTGATAGATAAGCTAAAAGTCCTTTGAAGTATTAAAGAACTAAAGGAATTATTATTTTGAAAGTCCATGTAGGAAATACATGCAAATGCTATATAGTTTTATTTAACAATTTTAACTTTCTTAATGGGTAATTTATGGATATTAGAATAAATTGAACTGATAACTAAAAATTGAAGTTCACTAAACATGTCTAAAGTGTTTTAGGTTGGACTTCAGTGTCAAACGACTTCTGTCTGGCAGTTCGTCATACTCCCACTCCATGAATTCACAGAATAAGATAAAAAAAGCACAGCAATAATTTAAGCTCCATAAAGACAGGAACGTTGTTTCCTGCTGGCTTGAAAGAAGAGAAACCTTTGTCCTTACCCCACTGTGTGCCACCGGCCCCGAAGCACAAAGCACTTACCAACCAGAAATCAAGGAATAAACCTCTCTCCAGCCAGAGTGCAGAAACCTGAGCATTGATTCCCTCCATTCTCAGTCAGTCTATCCCTCTCTATAAAAAACGAGACTAAAACCCCCAGAAAATAAGTAGGCAAGAAACAGGGAGGTGACATGTTTGTAGAACTCTGAGAGATGTAGTTCTCATAAATAAAATTATATGTATGGATAGAAGCAAGATGAACCCAAATACTACTCCATGTGGAAAATTATGAGTTTTCCCATAATCTGATGTTTTAGCATCTCAGACAACCAAACAGTAGAGACGAAAGAAGGTGTCAGCTGAATTCAGGCAAAGCCTCATTCACTATATGTCTAGCACATTCTTAAATTAGTCTAGAAGGTAAGCAGCAATATGCCATCTAATTTTAGTTCTAAGAACATACTGACTAAAACTCAGTGTTGCACTGTCTGTGATTTTCTTTAAAATATCCTGTGGGGGACTGGAATTGGCCACCCCAAGGTATGTCTCTTTGGCATGAGGATTATTTGGGGCTGGTTACTTTAAAAAAAAAACTACAGACAGGAAAGCAACTCTGAAAAGCAGAGTTTACTTACCCTTTATTAAAAAACATTTACATTGTAAAGGAAATCTCCATCTGTAAAGGTGTCTCCCTCTCTGTACCAGGAAGGAGGGGGATGACCTTATCTCTAGAAACTCTTAATCAGTGCCAAAGGCAAGGACTTAAATCTGCATCTTGCTTATTGTACTTGTCTGGTAACCTCCTGTAACTGACTCCCCCCACCCCCAACATCCTACTTTGTCTTTAGCTGAAGATGATATTTAAGTTGGTGGCTTTGCCATTTTGGCTAGTTGCTCAGGCTGCCTGAGCCTCTCCCATGTATACATCTTATAAAGCTTTGTTTAATTTTCTCCTTTTATACTGTCTCATGTGAATTTAATTTGTTCTCCGGCCAGAAGAACCCACAGCGGGTAGAGGAAATGTCTTCCTCCCCTACAATCCCATCAGAGATACTTTATTATATATATGCAAGTTAGTTTAAGTTTCAGCAGCAAGAGCAGTCCACTGCTGTAATCAAAAGTTCACCTGCCAAAGTGGTCAACTAACTTACTGTCAAGAATGCAAGGCCCAGGAGTGGTCAGTGTGAGTTCTAATCAGGAAGCTGTTACTCTTTGCTAATTAGCACACGATCTCAAAAACAGCTTCTTATTGGTGGAAATAATCACCTGTAGACTGGCATGATGAGTGTTAGAAAAGGACTCATAAGGTGAAATTAAAGATATGGTAAGTACGTAGATTAGCTAAAGTGGCATGGATGAATAGACAGATAGACAGCAGACAGATAGACAGACACAGACATACATACATCTATTTTTTTAAGAGACACTCACTCTTCCTAACATGCATAAGCAAGAAAGAAGAGCCCAGAAAGGCCAGCAGCCTTACATTTAGGCGTGATGTCTAAGATTAAATCCCTAGTCCCTCTACCGCCAGAGGTGAACTCCCGAGAGTTTTGAGCAGTGCCATGTCCGGCCATATTGGAGCTGGAGCTCAGCACAGAAAAAAAAGTGTGTGCTTTTATACATTTACTAAAATGTTCTTCTATATTTTGAACCAAATAAAAAAAGTTAATAAAATCTCTATAATCAAAAACACAGTCATATATAAAGGCTTGCCTTGATCACGGTGTTGTCCAATGGGATTGAATGCCATCATTAATCTTCAAAAACTGTTAGGGCAGGCCAGTGACCATCAGCTACTTGGAAACGACTTTTGTTGCTGCATAGTAATGCAGGAACATAAAACAAACAAGCAACAAGTCATGCAGGGACATAAACTGTCTTTATTTAAAATTTTGATATTTGGTTCATGATAAATTATTCTGTGTTCATTTTGATTTTTTAAAGTATTGCCTTAAAAATTATTTCTCTTGATTACTAGGTTTTTTGGCAGCTTCTCAAATTTTTCACCAGAGGCTAGTGCCTCACTGCTCTGATTCTGAGCCTCTGACGATGCTACAAGACTGAGACATCTTGTTTTCTAGAATTTTCGGCATTTGGCTCAAACAGAACTTTCACTCAAGGTAGTACTCAAAGCACTTCAGTGGTTGGAGAACTGGCTGTTCTAGAGACCATAAAATGAGTAGTGTGAAATATTGGTTTTGCTTTTTATTGTTTTATATGTTATCTTACTAATATATATTCAGTTGGCAAATGTCTCTATGTGTGGTGTAAT